CACCCAACCACCTAACCAACCAACCAACCAACCCATCAAACCACCAAACCGCCCACCTAACCACCCAACCAACCAAGCAACCAGCCACACAACCATCCATCCATCCGCTCAACCACCCAACGAACCACCTAACCCAACCGCCCAACCACCCAACCACCCAACTAACCAACGAACGTACTACTGTTCGTAATTATGAATATATATGTTTTATAGCCGAGAGACTGGACTCATTGTGTCCGTCGCTTATCGTACGCATTGTGTTGCTGTCATCTTTCGCAGTGTCGTCGGCTAGCAATTCAGACTGTTCGTAATTGCCAGGTTCACTTATTCAACCTTGTGACACAACATGGGCGACGTTGTTGTTGTTGTGAAAGAGGCTGTGGATGGAAAGGAAATCGTCGTGAGGGAGACAGTGTGTGAGCACGATACTGAAAACGAAAGAGACTTTGAACACTGGGAAGGGGTTGTCGCCACGAAAACACGTGTGTACTACGCGTTCATCGATGACACCTTCGCTTTGAGGGTCGTGGCAGGGCTGGGGTACGACGACCATGATCGCCTTGATGAGGTTGTAATGCACGCAAAAAACTTTCGGATGTCGTTCCTGACGCCTGCAAACCCCCCGACTTTGATATGATTGGTCATTTGCTAAGGTGCATCGTGTCAATCGTTGCGGTCGAGCATGTGGAAAGGTTAACACCCAACGCATGGTATTTCTCCAAACTCGACAGGCCGCTGCAATGCCGTACTTTTCTCCACAGAGATGTGCGCACTGTGTTGCCAATGGACGGTTGCCGACAACAGTACCAAAATGTCAACGAACCATCATCATGGTCGTATCATGCTTAGTCTGAAACAGGTGGGTTGAGTCACAAAATCGTGAAGGTTTTTAAAATTCGACAGTGTTCGAAACCGCGACTACCCGCTCATCCCATACATGTGTTTTAAGTGTGTGCCCCCTCCCCATGCGGTACATGCAGAATATCATGTTTGCGTTATTCGTTGCTCGATCGTTAGGTTCATAACTTACGGTGTCGGTTTCTGTGAATTGCAGCATTTTTAACGTCATACGAAAGAAGCGATGATGCATTGCGCGCCAATGATTGTCCGATGTTACCACACCACAAAACTGACAGGCGGTGACACCGTATACTATTATGAATCAATGACTCCCGTAACAGATCCTGTCGGCGATGCAGCGGGATACCGCAATGGATACAAGAAGGTGGATCGTCATTTCGTTGTCAGTGTGGAGGAGGAGCGAGTCGTTAGACTCACTACAGAAACATATATTCGCGACCACGCCATCGAACACGTTCGTGTCCTAATGTCTAAGCCAACCACGTACTTCAGTACCTTTGATCTCAAACCGGTCGACGGTGATTTCATTTATAATATCATATTCCCCCTTGTGCATCGTATACTATACACACACTACGGGACGGTTGCTCTGGACGGCGTCTGGCGCCTGGTCGTGTCACCGCCTTATTTTGTCTCTAATGGCGAGGATTTTTTTGCCACGTTTTATCCTTGCAGTGCGACCCAACGATGAGTACCATTCGTAAATTTTTTTCTTAGTTTCTTCGTTGTTGGAGAGAGATAAAATGATGGTTTCAATGATTGTACATTCTCTCTTTATACATATGCAAGCCCTATCTCCCATGTGTTTGTTATATGTTTTCAGTAGATTTTTTTTTTTTGCCTACTTTGCGTTCTGAAATTTGTTTTCGTTTTCGTTATGTGGAGGTACAGTAGGTACAGTACTAAGGTAATCGGTGCCCGTAATGTTCTGTTTTGTAGATTTCAAAAAAATCACACATAAGCGACAAAACAATATTCACCCTTTCAAATACATGGACCCTCGACGACGCAGGGCTAGCATGCGGGCCGACGCAGTAGTATTTGGAAATGGGACAGATACTGATCCTTTCCTCGACGAGGAGCTGACAGTCACCGAGATTAAGAGCCGGTGGCCGGGACCCGCAACGCTTTTGGAGGAGGCTGTAGCTTTTGTTGGCCTGAAGGAGCATTTGCAACAGTTCATGAATCTGCTTATTGGTCGCGCAAATCTCGAACCCAAGCAGAATCGTTACAATGGATATGTCACTTTTTCTCGGCTGTGCGGGTTCGTCGTTTTCCGACAGAGATTGCCAGATGAGTTCCAAGATGCAATGCGGGAACGATGGTCAGATACAATCGTTCGAGGTTTTGAACTACGACAATGTGATCCTCCTGAAAAACCGCGCCCACGTCGACGTGCACGACGGTAAATGCTTCACGAGAGATAGATAGATAGATAGAGAGATAGAGAGATAGAGATAGATAGATAGATAGATAGATAGATAGATAGATAGATAGATAGATAGATAGATAGAGAGAGAGAGAGAGAGAGAGAGAGAGAGAGAGAGAGAGAGAGAGAGAGAGAGAGAGAGAGAGAGTATGCTTGCCTGCAGTGTGAGTACGTTTGTCAGTCCGACTGCGTGTTTGCCTTGAGTGTGTGTTCGCGATCGTAAACTTAAGCGTGGGGGTTACTTTTGGTGTGACTCGTAACGGCCCATGCTTGTTCGACAGGCCATCAGGCCCGGTACTTACCTATTGTCGTGACTTGCAGGGATTGCATTATGTAAAATTTGGTTTCCCTGCTATACATAATCTTCTTCTTCTTATAATCCTCGATCTCTCATTTGAAGTTCATTTATTTCTTTTTGCAATTGTATGCCATTGTACCATTGATAATGGAGTCTGAGCCATTCTAATCCTCGCTCTCGCCACTCAACTTTATTCATTTACTGTTGCAACTGGATGTCACTACAATATTGGATCAACGTGAAAATCTGAATTGGTTCGGCTATATAATGTGCGATCCAACTGTTGCCTAAGTGCGTAAGCATGTGAAGTATGGATGTATGTGTAACTCGATATTAGTCCAATAATATGTATACGCAGATGAGGGAAAAAAAAAAAATTAATCAAACACAAGACATGAGATACCATCAGATGTGTGAGAAATATATATATATATATATCACTTGGTTGTCTTACGATTTTTTTCGGCGCTCACACACAGACATTCTCAAACACGGCCACACATGCATAAGAACAGGGGGAGACGATTTTGTTTTTTTAAACACCTAACCACCCATACAATATAAACCACGCCCACACATGCATAACAAGAGGGGGAGAGGTGACAGAGTCAATCACGCACACATACAAGGATAAGCAGCGGAATTCTACCATGCACACATCGATGAGGTCACACAATGGCTCTCACTCTCCGACAGACTCCCAACAAACAATCACAATAAAGAACCTCAACAAAATCACAATTGATAGAGAGAGAGATAATGAGTCAACTCGAATGAATATCATAACACAATTTATTACAGTCGCTTCGTCCCCAATCGATTTCCCTCATTCCACTACTAGAATATAGTACTATTACCTACACGTAGACCGGACTGACTAACCGACCAATACCGTTGCAGTTTCACCCTCACGGCCTCTACCGGACCCGACTATAGGCTATAGGACCGTCCATCAGATCTGACCATTAGGGCCTGTCTGTCCTGGGGGTAGTCCGGGCCTGCTATTCGCAGTAAGTGTACGTATAGGAAATTCGAAATAATGCTGGGCCTATATTTTCCATATTTACAGATGTGACCCTCACGAATTTTCCTCACAGGTTGGTCTCACGGTTATGCCCGAGTCAAATGAAATTACGAATCTAACCCTACGGGGTAGTATACAGCCTCGCCATCAGTCTTCGCAGTTAGACTGGATATATATATATATATATATATATATATACAATCAACACGTCAAACTAAAAAGCCGAAAAACATAAAAGTCCCATGTACAAGATACTACGACATAACATGATGTCAGTCGTCGAACAACTCGACATCATCTGTGTCCAATAGAGAATCGCATGATCAATCGGACACGGCATCCGCCGGTCCAGGCAACCCATCCCCGTCCCCAGTGATGAGAACATCGTCATCCCCCACAACGTCGGGATCCGCACTTGAAGCAACGTCGTCCTCGTCACGGGCAATGGTATCCTCGCCTCTGCAAAAAAGATCGCGAGGCAGAGGAGGTGTCGAGGACCCGCCCTCGCCCGACACATCACAGTCGTCGTACTCGAGAAGGCGTCGAGCCCAATCTGAAACACATTTTGAACCGAAGATGAACGTGGTCAACCGATCCATCCACGAATCTGTAGGTGGCCGATTATGACGGTAGTGGATCGACCTTGGACGAATCGAAGTCCCAGAAGCCTACGGACACGATACTCCAAGGGACCCTGCCATGCATGACTGTTCCATCGAATGACTGCAATCGCCAAACGCGGCTCATACGACTTCTCGAAGTGCAAGGCCTTCTTCGCGTAAATGATGATTGTTCCCTGGAAGGTCTCAACCGTCGACGTGTGACGGAACTCCGTGTACTACGAACAAACGGTCGTGCTGCAATGCCTGCCCAACGTTTGGCGAATGATGTCATACACGGGGTCGTCGTGCGTGTACAGAGGCAGCCGAGATGGGCCACCCGCCTTTGAGCATAGAAGCTCTCTTTCAGCAACGCACCTGGAGTGGTCCCCGGCCCAATGGTCGGCGATCATCATGACATCATTGTGCAGAGTGACAAAGTCACCGCCCTCATCTTTGCAAAGCTGGGAAGCACGAAGAAACCAATGCCCCACCTCATGCATATGGAACTCATTCACACCATCTGCATCCACGACCAAGGATTTGTTGTTTTTCATCGTGCCGTACGGGTACATTTTGCTCATCACAAAAGCAACGAAGTCGCTCTTCTTCAATCGTTCTTCTTTTACCGTCAAAGACCCTGGTCCATGACGGTCCGTCAAGGCATCCAACAGCTCCTTCGTGAACTGCATAAACTGAGATTCCGACACGCACTGATGAGGGTTGTTCAATTTCTTTGGCACCTTCAGTGTCACGACTTTTCTAAGTGCCTTGGGAATGTTTTTTACCTTATGATGGCAATCCTTCTGCCATTCAATACCCAGGTGCTCCAACTGTGGACCCAATGCAGCACAATCGTCGGAGACAACACACCGGATCTTCAACCCCCTCGACAGCAGACCTCTCAACAGGCGCACAACAACAGGAACCTCAAGTTGGTTCGACGCCTTTCCCTAATTTTTTGGCCGAAGAGTGTGAACACCCACCACAAGACGAGTATCACACTCAATCGTGGTAACAGTGCAATGTTGCGCAGACCTGGCCGAGTCGTAGCTACCGTCAACCATCAAAGTGACGGGTCTCCTTGATCGCATAATCGTGTCAATGGCCAAGTTGCAATGCCGCACGCTCTGCCTAACAACCTTTGCATTCCAACCCTCACGCACATTCGGCTCACCGCGCATGCAACTGTAAAAAGTGGGCTTGTGCACAGGTGCCACCCCAAACGCGATGCAGAAGTCATCGAGGATGGTATATGTCATACCCGAAGTGACGGTCGCATGGAACAACTGCTGCTAAAGTCTGCAAGAGTACACAGCTCCCCCAACTAGTGCACTGTGTCATGTCCAACGACAGAACTTATCACAAGCTAGCGAAATGCGACAAATCTGCCCAGGATAACCGACAGAGGACACATCCACAGCACAGCCACCCCCGTGGCGCGGGCAACTCAAATCAAACGACCCGAGCAACTGCAGCAGCTTCACCGGCTCCACGAAGACGACATCAGGCGCTTTCGAGCCTTCCCAGTGCCCCATCGATTCCAACACATGTGCAGACCGATTATTGCAAGGTCCGGTTCGCAGAGCACCATCCTTCGAATCGTCCCAGCACAAAGGACGTACATGTTCGAAATGCGAACGCGACCTGCCACGGCTTGGTGGCAGCCCGCGCAATCTGCGGCCACGGTGTGACCCGTGCCCTGAACGCGGTAGTGAATCATCCGACCCACAAAATGACCCGCCATTGCCTCCACTGCTCCCTTCACCCTCACGCTCGCCATCATCCTCAGCTTCCGCTGTCGAATCATCCCCTCCTGCTCCGAGACGAAACACATCTGCACGGCTGCTGACCGGTAGTGTTCTCTCGATCCTCGACGCCACACCGTCTTCGAACTCAGACCGGATGGCTGGCAATGACCAATGCAAAAGTTGGTCAACGACATCGCTCATGACCCCAGACTTATCACTCACTTCTTTCATCGCAGATTGTAAAAGGCGCAGTCTCTCCTTGCAAGCGGTAGTCAGGAACAAACGAGAGTACTTCGCGGAACCAGTTGACTGTGAACCGAATTGGCTCAAAGACCCGCCCGAGTGTTCAGAACGACCCGCACCAAGATTTTGAGCGTCAGGATCGCAACGGTCGGGCCCATCTCCGCTACCACACACATTGTCATCCTCGTCGAACCGGGGGACGAGAGAGCGACGGGCGGAATTACGGTCATGTGTGTCCCCGGCAGAGGCACGACGTGCATCATCCAATACACCCCCCTGCCCATGACCTGATGCGGCGAACGAATGTGAGACCCGCGGTTCTACACTCCGACGTCCTCCGTCACGCAGTGTGGACCCTCCACTTCCAAACACTGCTCCTGATGATTGAGAACACCCCTCTAGAGGAATGGAGTCCAACCCGTCGCGTCCAACAAAAAGTGGAGGAGGAAATGGCTACGCAGCACACGACAGAAACTGCAAACGGCGAGGCTGCAATGGCGGCGACAGCACAGGAAAACACAACGCATCGAAATCCGACAGAGGGTGTACTAGAGTGTATGGACGGCGCGCTGGAGACGGCAACAAGGGCGGCAACGGAGAATGCACAACTGCAACGCCGGGAGTGACGACGACCGTAGGCGAAAGAGAGTGAACAGGAGGCCTCTTTGTTGATCGCATGTCATCCGGGCTGCCATAAGGGGATACTCTCAGCAAACCGCGCTGTCCGGCATGCGGTGACACCGGCGTGGCGTTGCCACTCGCGGGCCAAGTGGGTGGCCGTTCTGCTGACCTGCCGTCATCAGGCGTGAAACTGGCTGGTGCGTCATCCATGACAGATGAGCGGCCCTCTCCCGTGCCGTGCGTGTGGTGTGTGGTGGACGGTGCAACACCAACAACACAATCTCGAAAACGATGACATGCCAAATGACCAAAATAACAACGTCCGGTCCTGTAATCAGCAAACAGTCATCGGATGACAGACTCAGTGACTTGCATTGTCACTGATGCACTTGAAAAGAGACTGATTTAGAAAAAGACTCACGAACTTCTTGACAGATTGATTATCGGCCAGACCACCTTACACACATCCGATTCAGCGACTGAGTGACCAACTTGATGACATGTCAGAAACCCCGCACGACAAACCGGAGTCATTGGATTGATCGAATGATCGATTGAATGATCGATCGAATGATTAATCGAATGATCGATTTAATGATCGATCGAATGATTGATCGAATGATCGATTGAATGATTGACTGAGAGAGAGAGAGAGATCAGTTCAATCGATCAATCAATCAATCAATCAATCAACCAACCATTGATTCAATCAATGTATTGATTGGATTGACTGATTGATTGAATGATTGATTGATTAATTGATTGATTGATTGATTGATTGATTGATTGATTGACTGATTGAGTATTTGATTGATTGATTGATTAACGAAATGTTTGTTGTTTTTCGTATTGCACAGAGAGAGAGAGAGAGAGAGAGAGAGAGAGAGAGAGAGAGAGAGAGAGAGAGAGAGAGAGAGAGAGA